TGAGTATCTTCTCCTGTGTGAATTTTCCTATTATAATAGTTATCATTCCAGCATCGGCATGGCTCCATATGAAGCTCTGTACAGTAGGCCCTGTCATTCTCCCACTTGTTGGAACGAAGTCGGGAACTAATGTCATTTGGGACCTGATTTCATCTAGGAGACTATTGAAAAAGTTGCTATCATTCAAAGGAATTTAGCCATTGCCTAAAGTATCAAGAAAAGTTATGCCAACAACCGTAGAAGACCTTTAGAATTTGCAGTTGGCGATCAAGTCATCTTTAAGATTTTCCCTTACGAGGAAAAAATTTGATTCGATAAGAAGGGAGAATTGAGCCCTATTATGGGGGACCTTTTCAGATCGTGAAATGTGTTGGACCCGTGGCATACTTCCTTTCTCTACACCAAGAGTTTATGGGTCTACATGATGTTTTCCATCTCTCCATGCTCAAAAGGTGCCACTGTGACCCTTCTCACATCATTTCTCACCAAGAGATGTAGGTTCAAGCTGATATGACATACGAGGAGCTCCTCGCGAAAATCCTTGATTGGACCAACAAGGTTTTGCACAACAATAGGATCCCCATGGTGAAGGTGTAATGGCAACAACACACTCCGGAAGAGGTGACTTGGGAGTTGGAGAACGAGATGAGAGAGAAGTTTCCAGATCTAATCATAACAAATTTGGGGGATCAAATTTTCGAAGATGGGGGAATGTAACACCCTGAAAACCTTCGCGCTTAATTTGTAATAAGAACCTCTATTTATTCAAGCCTTAAGGTCTTTTAAAACCCCTTAATATTTCGTATTTTTAATTTTTTGGATGAATATCGTATTTCGTATTTTAAGTTTTATATTTTATTTGATTTGATAAATCTTAAAATTAATTATTTTATTTTTTTGTAGGAAAAATTTTATTTTATTTATTATTTAAAAAGATTTAAGGAAAATGGAGAAAAAAGCAAAAAATCCCACGGGAAGGATCCGGCTCGCGCAGGCTCTGCTCGCTTGGGTGATGTGCCGTCTCTGTTTGGGTGGCATGCCTCTAACTTTTGTGCCACTATCATGTTGCATCGTCCATCCATTGGTCACATCTGTTAATCATTACATTACACCTTTCCCATTGACTTTCTCTCTCCTCTCAAGATTTTGCCACTTGGCGCAAATCCGATGGTCTTCATTTTCTATAAATAGTGACCGCCCCTTCACCATTTCTCCATCACTTCCATTTTCATTCTTCCATTCGCCAAGAGCTTTAAAGAGAGAGGGAGATGACAAGAAGAAGAAAAGGCATAGAAAACATCGAGGTTTCGGTAAGGAATCAAAAATTTACTTTTAAACATCTTAAGGAGCATTTCTAGAGTAAAATTAATAAGGTTTAAATTAGTGATTTCATGGTTAGTTTATGCCTAAACTAAGTAATTCACATGTTAACGCATGTTCTATGATCGTGCATGAACTTGTTAATTTGCATGTGTAATTTAGATGAAATAAATATTGATATGTGATGCAATATGGTAGAAAAATGATTAAGCATGAAATGATGTACAGACATGAGAAACATGTATTAATATTGGCATGCATAATGTATAAAGTGTTTTGTTAGGCTTTTTATCTCTGAGGGATTTCTATTTCTCCCCCATCTGGTCTGAAAAGACATGAGAGGATCGCTCCCTGTGGATGACGGCATACCCTCTGACGAGAGTGGTGACGCGTAATGATTGTAGGGGTCATCTTAAGCGAAGTACGATCGTGGCCATAGTTAACATGTAGGACCACTGTGGTTTGTAGAACTGTGGTCATAGATCATGTCATGGTTTGGCAAGCTATAAATGTGATATTGGTTTAGCAAGCCGTAAATGTGTTGTTAGTTTAAGAAGACACAATTTGGTGTTACAAATTAAATGAATTTTTCATTCCACATGGGTAGCCAGGAATCTGTATCGCCCTCAATAGATGAAAGTCGAAACGACTTCGCGAAGAATGAGACAAAAATAGTGCATATCATGATTTGTTTGATTTTCTTTATTTTTAGCATGATATACTTGATTGATATGATATGACTATGATATGATATTTTCTTTAAATAAAATAAATTACTTTCATAATTTAATAAAGAACCCTGACATGACTCTTGATGGTAAAAAATGATGATACCTTTAATTACCTTTAAAATCTTATGATGTTATTTAAATATTGTTTTCCTTACTGAGTATATAGAACTCACTCCTTTCCATGCCTCCCTCTAGATGGGGAAGATAGTGAGGAACTGATTGCTGACCTACCGCTTGAAGTCTTTGAGGATCCCGTGGATCCATAAACTTTTATAAAAGCTTGACTAGTCTTGCACTCTGATGATCCTTTTACATAATTATAGAAGTGGCCCTTTTCGTATTTTGATATTTTGTATTTTGACGTCACTTTTGGCCTTAGTTATACATGTAATTGGAAACTCATATATTTATAAGGGATTTGTAATAAATTGTTCCGCTGCATATATTTAACTCTTACACACTCGTAATCTTTTTCTGTATGACACCCTTATGCGTTAAATAACATTTGGGATGTCATAAAAGGTATCTTACTTTCAGAAAAATATTACTTTTAAAATATAGAAATGAAATTTAGATTTTAGATTTTTTAGTAACAATTCATATATTTCATTAATTAGATGACACAAACTCTTAAAGATAATCTATAAAAATGCATAACTTGAATCTAAAATCTCTTATGAAGAGAAGAAATACAAATCATATTGTTAGAAAAGATTAGTATGATTCAATTTTAAAATTGTATAATAAAAGTAATGTATATGAATACTTTTCCATTGATTTTTGTAATAGCCGCAAAATTCTTAAAGAAATCAAACATATATTTCCTGCCAATTTAATGTAGTAAAAATATAAAAGTGTTATCTCTCTTCCAATAAAAAAATGATACTAGCCTGGTACTAATATATATATATATATATACCTTTTCCTTGACACTCTATATTAGCCTTTAAGATAATTATTTTTTTTTCCAAATGAAATAAAATTTAACAATAGCAATTAACCATTACAAACACAATAAAAGTACCATTAAACAATACATCCGATAACCATAATATAGATTGAGAAGAAAAAGAAAAAGGCACAACCATGTCCCAAAAACAATTAGAATGAAACAATTCATCATCCATTATTGATTCCAACCTTTAAGATAATTATAATGTTCTACATATTGCATACTGACTGACATTTATGAAAAAAAAATGGGTTATATCATTTCATGGTGGACAGCGAATTATTGGGCCGAGCTGGATTTGAACCAGCGTAGACATATTGCCAACGAATTTACAGTCCGTCCCCATTAACCGCTCGGGCATCGACCCAGGAAGAATCAATTTGAAGTTTATTGATAATCCATGATCAGCTTCCTTTCGTAGTACCCTACCCCCAGGGGAAGTCGAATCCCCGCTGCCTCCTTGAAAGAGAGATGTCCTGAACCACTAGACGATGGGGGCATACTTGCCCGACCGCCATCATACTATGTTCATAGTATGAACAGTTTTTTGAAATTGTCAATATAATGGAATGGTATGACTAGCCCCGAAGGCTCTTTCCGTCTTTTATGATTCCATAAAATTTTTTGATTTGTCATTTATATTCATGAATCATTCATTCTAATCACAATTCTATAGAGAAATCGATATTCTATTAATTTATATTATTTCGATTTCATTTCTATTATATGTTAATATTCAAATCAAATAGAAATAATAGTACGAAATATAGGATCTTTTCGAGAAATGATTGGTCTGAAAACATAAAAGAAAAGAGAGTTAAGCTTCGTTTTTTTTTTAATTTCGGTTCGGGGGACAAACCGAATCTCTTCATCACATGCTTCGATGAAATATCTTGGATCTATGTCGAATTGGTAGGTACATGTATATATCAATCAAATGAATTTCGTTCTGTTCTAATGGGGCAAATTAAGGTCAGTCTTTGAAACAATTCATTGCATTGATATTTATCAAATCTAATATCACTAAACCTATTTGAACCTATACCCGTTAAGTAAAATGGAAGTCAATTCAAATTCTCGTTCCTGAATGAGCTACTAGCCACTATGAGTCTACTGTATATACTTATAATATATACCTATAGATAGACCTTATTACCCTAGTGACTCATTCAGTAATTGAACCAAATAGGCCCTTTTAACTCAGTGGTAGAGTAACGCCATGGTAAGGCGTAAGTCATCGGTTCAAATCCGATAAGGGGCTTTTCCTTTTTTTTGATAAAACTGCAGTGCAGTGGTAGTATTCATGTTTAAACAAAATTGTTAATATTTTTGTAATACTAAATCGACTTTATCTATATAATGTATAATAATGAAATTAGAAACTGTATTATTTCTAATTTTTCTAATTTCATTCTTATTCTAATAAGTTATCATTCTAATAAGTTAGAGAGTAATTATAAGTTAGAGAAGGTAATGATATAAGTTATAGAGAGTCATTATAAAAGAAAGTTGAAGATTTGTTTATTATAATGAATAATGAGAAATCGTCTCTTGAATCGCCAAATATATATTTCTATTTTTCATTATTCCAATTCTAAAGATTAGAAATCAACAAAAGAAAAAGTAAGTGGACCTAACCCATTGAATCATGAAGTACCCCCTTTAAAAGAAATTTGGTCCTTCAAATTTTGTTATATTACCTCAAAGAGTTGCAGATAGTTACTTCTCATCTTGTCCTCCCGTTCCCACGTTGCTTCCTCATTTGCGTGATGTTG